CCGCAGAACTTTAAATCTGGTCATTTTTAGAAGCCCTGCAAGAGTGACAAAATCAGCATATTCCTTCAAAAATTTAGGACAGGCAGCCTTAAGGCAGGTGCTGAGAACAGTGCCTTGAGGTTAAGAGGAAAGCACACAGTGCAGCTATATAGAGTAGCCCTGGTGTGTAGCTTCATTGAAGTCAGTGGAGTTGCACAAGAATTTAGCTTGGCCTCATTGCCATCTGCACAGATTTCTTCCCAAGCAAATATTCCGTTTCATTCCTTTCCTTTATGCTTTTCGCAGCATTTTCCAATAAAGTCGTTACAGAAGTGAAAAAAAGTTAAATATTGCCCTTTGCCAAGATTAGCTTGTTAGTTTGGGGATTTTTTTTAAATCTGCTGGTTTCTAAGACAGAGCCAAGAAAAATTAGAGGCAGGAGGGTGAAGGGAAAAAAAAGGCTAGATTTGCCTCCCCCTGCCCCACTCCTTCTTGGAAAGTTGGCTCCCACTTTATGGAGTCCAAATGAGTAGGTTACAGGTAGAAAAAGTTAAGAAAACTTTCCTTAAGTATTCTGCACACAGATGTGCTAAACCACTTGGATGACATTCAAGCAGCTGCCAGACAGGGTCTCCCACCAGCTTAAAGTCACCTAAGTACTTTGGCATTTGCCCTAGTTCTGCTTGCTGCAGTAATGTGTTCCTATTGAATTCCTTAGATCAGTGTTTCCCAAAGTGTGAGGGGGACTAGCGGGGGAGGGGGGAAGAGGGGGAGAAAAGAAGGGGAGGGGATGGAAGATCATAGAATCATAGATCTATGTTAAAAGCCATCTTAGAACAGCAGCTGGCAGGGTATAAGGAAAGAGGCTACAATTAGTTTCTTGCTCCTGAATGAGAGCTGATCTTTCAAAAAGGTTGGGAAATGTTGCTTTCCAGCATAAATGTCTGACTGGGGGGGGGCAGGGAGGGGGGAAGATGGAGCCGGACAACTCCCAATGACTCCACAGGAGTAAAGGGTGCTCAGCACCTCTCAGGATGTGGTTCCTCATAGGCATCCAAGGGGGAAGAGATACTTTGTTTTGAGTTAAGCCTTGATTAGGTGTCACAGAAAGAACGGAATTCTTTTCCGAGTAGATAGGACTCTAGAATTTCAATGGAAAAAACAGCAGCAAGTTAGAAGGCACCAGGCATGTAAAAGATCCAGTGAATTACTGCACTCCCCTCTCTCTAAAACCAAGTTCATTTCCTCATCTGGATCAGAGGGATTTGGGGCAATTCCACACTCCATGCTTACCCGACCACTGCAGAGCTAGCCATGACAAATCAGAACTATCGCGATACTCCGATGCCACCGTATCCAAGAGCTTTGGGGCTGTTGGTATACTGAAGATTAGAGGTCCAGGCAGGTGAAGCGCGAGCTGGCAGATTTGGGGTAGGTTGGAACAGCATGGGGAGAAGAATCTGGACTTCTGTGCTGTAGCATGGCCACTGCTGACCTGGGTCAGCTGACTCAGAGCTCCTGGTGCTGCAAACCAGTGTGCAGATGTACAGGCCTGGGGTTGGAATCTGAGCTCCGGGAGCCTCCACAAGCTCAAGTCAGCTAACCAAAGCCAAGCACAGGTTTATTCCCTGCTGCTTCTGAACAGACAGGCATGTCTAGTATGATCATCGTACTGGGAAGTGCTTTCTTCTCGTGAATTTGTTGGTGCAGTTGTGTCTCTTCATGCACAATAGGGATGTAAAATCCCATGTAATTGGTTAACTGGTTAAGCTTCTGGTTTAACCAGTTAACCAATTAAGGTGGGGCTAGGCTGGAGTGCCCCCCCCCACCACCACTCTGGACAGCCCCAGTGGCCCCTGCCTGTGACATACCTGAGCTGTTGCTCCAGACACCCAGAGCAGCTCCTGTCAGTGGTGGGCCCTGTGGGACTGGAGCAGCACCCTGCCCATGGCAGGCAGGGAGCTGCTCCAACCCCCACTAGTTAACCTTTCACATCCCTAATACACAGTCTAGGAAATCTGGTGCTGATGGTAAATCCTTTATAACCGGAGCATGCATAATTTTTGCAAGACACTTCAGTAAAGGCTAGCAGTGGTGACCAGGAAATCCTATAACCCTGCTTCTCAGCTAGCACATGTAAACAGGCTTAGAACTAGGCACAGCAAAGAAAGCATCCTCAATCTAGACTGCTTTGTGGAAGAGGAAACTGAGGCTCAGCTCATGGCATTTGTGCCCAAGTGCCAAGGCAGTTATGCTCTAGATCTAGAAGGTACTAACTACTACATTGTTCACCATGCTGTACAATAAAAGGCTTTCAGGTAACTTAAAGAACCCCAAGACCTTGTAAAAAATATTTGTGGATGACACTAACTTCTTACTGTTACCAAAAATTGTGAACAACCTAAAGAGGATTTCAGGCATACTGCCTTTGCATTAGTCAGATTTTTCAGGGTGATACAGGAGTCTCAGCCCATGTAATTCAAAACTGAAAGCTGTTCATTTGACCTGAAAACAAAAACCACACCCCCACTGGAAACTGCTGAACACATCTTTTCTCACTCTAAATGTGTAACTAGTATTCTTTAGTTTGCATGTTTTGTTTTATTTGCTCAGTAACTTGCTTTGAACTGTTTACTATCCCTTACAATCACTTAAAGGTTCTTTTGTACAGGTTATACCTCCTTTAACCAGGACTCTGGTCCAGCAACATCCATGGTCCGGGAGGACCACAGAGTCCACATATAGGGAGTCGGGTTGTGGGGGAGGAGTGCAACGGACAGACAACACAGCTGGGAGCCCCATGTTGGGAAGCGGGGGCCAGGGAGCAGCAGGGCCCGGGAGCAGCCCTAGCTGGGGCAGTGATAATCATGAGGGGAGGTACTTCCCATGGTCTGACAAATCCCCTCATTCAGGACCTGTCAGGTCCTGAGGATGCTGGACCAGGGAGGTCCAACCTGTAGTTAATAAAACCCAGTTTGTGCAATTTGTGATAGGTAGGATGGGAAGCCATGCATGTCTTCCTCCACATTGAGGGAGGGGACAACTTTCATGACTTTGTGCTGTATAGATCTCTATACAGCACAAGACAATAAAATTGTGTTTATGCTGCAGAGGTGGGGCACTTCCTGAGCGGAGTGTAGACTGCCCACACAACTGATTGCAGACTGCAAGATTGTGCTGCTGGTCTGTCCCTACCGGCATGTGCGGTCCTATGAGATGCACAAGGGCCAGGCTGGGGAACAGGTAAGTTCAATGGGACCCCAATACATTATGTAGCACCCAGAAAGCAGGGTCCAATGCATCACCATGACAATTTCACTGTTCATGATACTTTCCCAAACAGATACGAAGAGGAAAAAAAATTCCTTTCCAAGTACAGTGGGGCAAAGGCCAATGAATGAAGCTTTTGCACAGACCAAAGTGGAAAGTCCCTAAAATATTTTGCCAAATTAGAAGCACTATTCCTTCATTTAATTGATCCCAACAGGACACGAGAATTCTGTGCTGCAGAGAATTCTCCAGAAAAAGTCCTAAGTTCTCATCTGTGGAAGAAAGCCTCTTACAAAAGTTACTTTTACTCAACTCAGCGAGGCAAACTTCTAGTGTTCTACAGACACATGGTACGAGGCCCTGCACTGGAGGAATAAAAATGTATGGTTTTTGGCCAAAGCTCGGAGATTTTTGAACTAGTTGACAGACTAAGACCAACTGACCTGTTAAGAAATATGCAATTCATTTAAATATTAAAGCAGCAGGGTTTTGGGGATTCATATTTAGGAATGCAATACATTCTAATGCAGGGGTGGGCAATAATTTTTGGTGGGGGACCACTCCATGATTTTGGAAAGTGGTCAAGGGCAGCACTGTTCTGTGGAGGGGCTATGGAGTGGAGGGTGGGTGCAGAAGGGTGTGCGGGGTAGAGACTGGGGTGTAGGAGAAAGTGTGGGGTCTGAGAGGGAGTTTGGGTGAAGGAGGGGGCTGTGACCTGAGGCTGGGGAAGTGCAAAGGGCTTGGATGGTGACCTGGGGGAGGGAGTTGGGGTGCAGGAGGGGCAGGGGTGCCAGAGGCAGGTGGCTGGGAGCCACTTTCCTAAGCATCTCCTCACCTGCAGTGTGGGCTAGGCCATCGTTCCCTGTTACTCCTCTTGGCTGCAAATGGTGAAACTGAGCCAATAGGAGCTGCAAGGCTCCGTGGCCGCGGCACCGGCACGCGCGCACCCCCCCCTCCCCACACACACACAGTGGCCGGTTAATTGGTTTCTCAAAAAGTGGTTTCACAGAGCAGTTTGAGAAATACTGGTCTAGCTGTTTGACCGGAGGAATGACCAACAGTTAATCCCCACTAATTCCTAAGCCAAGATGAACAGCACATGGTGATGTTTTTCCATGCATTTGTACAGCCATCTCACACAAACATTATGGTTTCCAAGTGTAGTGCCATAAGAATAGCACCCACCCAACCCACTTCCTCCAGAGTTAGCAACATTTCACTCAGATATTAAAATCTTCCAAATTCAGATCCAGGTCCATTCTAGTACAGTGCCACTGGGCAGTCCTGTCAGCAAAGTTTCCTGTGCAGGACCAAAAACACAAAACCCTTTTCCCAGCATGAATACAATTGGTTGGGACCAGTACTACTTGGAGGAAGGGGGAGGGATAATTTCTGAGTGAATCCAACCTCCAGTACCCTTTGACTTCACCTTTTCCTTCACAGAAGTGCATTAGTCAGGCTCCCATGCCTGACAGTGAGAATATGACATTTACGGGCCAGAGCCCATAACGTACTACCTCCTTTTTATGACTGTTCTTTTTGAGGTCTATGTATTCTGAAAAGTTGATACACTAGAAGGTTGTAAAGCCTAGGAACTTTAGGCTAGAACACAGTAAGGTGGTCTCCCTCCACTTTACACAAAAAGCCCCTAAAATGCATTGTTGGAACCGAAACACTGATTTTAGAAGGTTAGTATTCATTCAGCATGAAGACCTTCACCCCCCTTCCCCCCCACACACACACTTTCATACCTCTAACTTCCTTCCTGGGAGTTTCAGGAAAATTGGACATCCAAACTTCCAAGTCCAAGAAGAGGGCAGCAGTAAAACAAAAAGAGTCATTAGAAAAAGCAGCAAGCTGTTTCAGAGCTCTGCAGAAGAGAACAGTTAGAATTAAAATAACTTTGAAAAAGGAAGGTTAAGAACAGTTTGAGAAGAAACTGAAGACCACTGAAGAGACGCTAGCCCAGTGGTGATTAGCCTATTATCTGAGTCACAGCAATTCATAGGGTATGGGAAATTGGTATGAACATGTGAACATTTATAACTTCATAAACTCATTCAGATGACCAGAGCCACACGAGTAAAAAAGGTTCACATGCAAACTCTCATATGTTCCAATACTGAGAGAGAGAGACACTTCGAGAAACCCCAGTTGAGTTACACTCGGTATAAATCAGGGAACTTTGACCTATTAGGGCCCTCAGTCCTGCAAAGAAAGGTAACTCACACTTCAAGGAAAGAGTTTTAAAGCAGCCTAAATAAAGATACTTTTCAACTAGGCATTGAACAATAGCATCAACCATTAATGAGTCAATTTACAGTAAAGCCCCAGTAAATAGGCAGAAGGATTGTTTGGCAACAAGGTCAGATTTATGCCTGATTTCAGAGAGAAGTGTTTTGTTTAAGGATGCTGGAAATAGTCAAGAATCTTTCAAATGTGCCTTTGGTCTGAGGATACTGGAAGTTTATTTTTAAAAACCTGCAGGCTTACTTGACCAGACCTTTGCTTAAGCCAGTTGCAGAGACCTTAGACAATAGCAACAAAAACTAGTGTCTCAGACAGAAACACTGCCCCAACTGGAGGTGGAGCAAATAGCTTTTTGAAAGAATGTCTTGCTACAGCGGACCAAACTCATTCCTGGTTTCTTAAACTGAGATCTGGTGAGAGACTAACAACTTCTAGTAGTTCCAGAAAGCCACACACCAAAGTAACCCATGGAATTCCTTGGGCTAGAATCGGCACACAATATAATGCTAAGAACAGTTTTGGCTCCATCAGTCTCAGAGCCACAAGACACCACTTGAAGGGAACAAAACACAATACACAGAGGATTCATCTGTGACTCATTTGGATTCATGGGGTAATATTCTCTGAATAGGCCTTTGGTCCCTAATGGGTCCTGGCAGTTCACCAGCTACCCAATATGCAGCAGAAGTCACTTTCAATGGGCTCTCCAAGTGAAAATAAAGTTTTTTTTAAAGTCTAATACTTTGCATTTCCATATCACGAAGGATCTCAAAAGCTTACCACTCCCCCGGAGGTAGCAGATATCCTCCCCGCATGGAGAAAGACACTAGAGCACAGCATTACAGAAACTGCTCTGGTCAACTGGTTTTCAATGGAGGGCCACTGACTTGGGGGTTCACTTTCCCATTGGTCCCAACAGACCAGTCTAGCCTTCAGAGGAAGGAGGGATGCCTTCAGAGACAGTAAAGCTTTGTGGCCAGGGCACTAGACTGGAAGTCACATTCTGGATTTGCTGCTGGTGCTTTGAATGGCCTTGGACAAATCATGTTGCTGGTGAGTGCCTCGGTTTCCCCATATATAAACTAAAATAACAATACGTCCCAGTTCAAGAGTGCATTCAGACCTACATAGGAGAGGCACTATTGAGGGTAACAGCTAAATACCAGCAATATAGTCAAGTGAGAGCATGCAAGCTTGATTTAGTTTAAAGGTAATAGTCAATTGTCTTGTTAATTACTCGTTTGTACAAATATACCCAGTGACGTTAAGATGCCTAGATACATAAAAACCCACCAGCCAGGTCTCGTCATCACTATATTGAGGTTACTCTGCACAGAAAGACTCAGGTGACAGAATCATCAGTAGGGCCCTACCAAATTCATAGTCCGCTTGGATCAATGTCACGGTCACAGGATTTTTAAGAGATCCTTGGTCTCCTGGTTTCAGCTATTTAAAGCTGAAGTTTCAGTGTTGTAGTTGCAGGGGCAATAGGAGTGGAGGCGGTTTACAAGGTTATTGTAGGGAGGGTTGCAGTTCTGCTACTCACTTCAGCTGCCCAGCTCTGAAGGCAGTGCGGTCCCTGCAGAGAGCAGCAGCTGCTGACCAGGATCCCAGCTGTGGGCAGAACTATGGCCAGCAGAAGCACAGAAGGATGGCAATAGCAGATCACGCCATCCTGGCATCTGCTGCTGGTTGGCCAGACACCTGGCTCTGCCCAGAGCTGGATGTGCTGCTCTCCAGCTACCTAGCTCTGAAGGTAGAGCAGAAGTAACGGCAGCAATGCTGTGACCCCTCATTGCAGCTTCCTTGGGGTCACGACCCTCCCCCCCCCCATTTTGAGAAATGTTAGTCCCACCAATGAAACTGGCATTGTATATGGTGAACACACACAAGACCAGATTTCAATGGGGGTGGAGGGGACACACCAGATTACGTGGTCCATGACGTGTTTTACATGGCTGTGAATTTGGAAGGGCCCTAATTACACACAGAGCAGCAAAATTATCCCAGCCAAAGGGGAGGGATTTCAAAGTTTGCACTGTGCCAAGCCAGCACTGGAAACTCAAGAAAGCCAAAGAGGAAATATCTGGAGTAAGGAAATGTCCATCAAGGTCTTAGTTACACTGGAGCTAGCTGCTCCAGCAGAGTCAACTTAAGGGAATCCACTCGGTCGCTATTATTCATGAACAACTCTTGACACGAAACCAAGCTTTTCATGCAGTTAGATAGGATCTCAAATAAAGTAACTCCCCCCACTTCTGGCTCCAAAAGACTGAATACAAAAGAATTAAGAAGTAATTTTGTTTCTTGGATTCCCACACTGCCCCCCCCCCCTTTAAAAGAGCCCAAGAGTTCAGCAGTTAAGAAACAAATGAGGGAGCCACTGGAGGAGAAGACAGATCACAGATTTCAGCTGCTCCAGCACAAACATCTGCTTAGCATTAAACTTTCTGCTCAGATTTTTTTTTTTAATTCCAAGATGCTCCAGGCTCAAATTGCTCCGAGCTTCTAAGCCTCCTCCAGCAAATAATAATAAAAATATTCAAGACGGCAGCAATGCATGCAGCCTCAAACTGCCCAGAAGGAGAGCGTTTGGAGGAGGAAGGCAGAGGTCTGCAGTTGTGCCAGCAAAACAAAAGCTGTAATAAAATTGCCCTAAAGGAAAAGCCAGGGCTGAGTTTTACTTGATTGCTGCACTAAGGCTTAGAGTTAATTCAGAATGAGACTGGAACAGTAAATTAACCACCCCCTGCTTCCTCCTCTCCACTCCCCTTTCATTATGTTGGTGACAGCTCCTTAAGCACCAATGACTTGGGGGAGAGAACATCATCTGAAAGGGCAGTTAAGATGTGGTTTGTGTTAGCACTTAGACAACTAATATACTTGGGGCCGGATCCTTTTCCCATCCCGTTCCTCAAGATTTTGGCTGCCATTTCAAAATGGGAACAAGCCATTCAGAAGAAAAACGATGGACTTGGTTTCCTGAAGAACAAAGCAATGGAGCCGAGTGGCTTGCGAGCAGCAGTAGGAAAGTTTCCCCTTCAGTTCAGGGATGCATTTTACAGAAATAGCAATGAAATAGGAGAGGTGCATCTCTGCGGGAGACAGCTGCTGACCTCTAGTCTGATTCAAATTGCCGGCCTGGTCTCCAGACAGGTCTGCTCTGCTTTCTCAAAGACCGGGGGGAGGCAGGGGGAGGGAGAAGAGGGGAAAGAAGATGCTAATAAGATTTAAATTAAAACCAGTTGCCATGGCAGGTTGAACGACAGAAGCAGATTTTATTTTGAGGTCACTAGCAGCATTCTGGATGTTCTCCTAGTGGAGGAAGAGACATTGATTCCTGGGTAGGGATGCTTTAAGCTTGTAATATACAGCCCCACTGGCTATTTCAATAGCACTAATTTGTAAGCGGTCTTGCCAGATGCAGTCAAAGACATTAATGCTGCACATGGTATGAGGCACTGTTCAAACAGATTAAAAAAAAAAAACCCAGCCCCCAAAGATCTTGTCACCTAGTCTTATAATCTGGAGAATCCTACTTTGTTTGGCACACCGGTAAGGCAACAGGTTTGGTTTGTTTGGCAGAAACATAAGGCCACCCATTAATTAATAGACCCAGAGCTCCCCTTTGGGCTCTCCCATCCTTGTTCATAATCTTTCAGACAGGTTACAAAGAATGCCAATTCAAATTAAGATGCTAAGGGCAGACTTTGCACCATCTCTGGCACAGCTGATGTGGAATGCCCCTCCCACAGTAAGGACTCTTTGAAGAAGTACCTTAAAAAAAAAAATCTCCCAAAAGGAGTTCCAACCAGATGGACAGTGGCCATTGGCAGGGATAAAAGTTGAGACACGGGTACAACCTCAGTGTATTTGGTGAATCAATCCACTGAAGGACCACACAGAAAGCAACAGCCGGAGGAATTCATTTCCACACCTTTTCCTGCTCATCGTTTGCTGTTCCTGGGCTTCTTTGTTGTCAGCACTAGCAGCAGCACTAGCAGGACACCATCACAATATTTTCCTGCACTGAAGAATTTCAATGATTTCAATTGCCAGGGATCTTCACATTAAAGGAAGTATTATTCTTCTGGCACTGAAGCAGGAAGGTAAATCCCCGACACATGAATTTTGCATGTGCACAGGCCTCTCCCCTCCATTAGGCCAGATGTACCCACCATGAAGCTCTCTCTCTCTCTCTCTCTCAAGAGCTATCCGTAGGGAATATTAGGGCCAAAATCAGGTTTGGGGGAAGATCAAGCATGAGTATCCCCCTACTGAATAAGCATGCTTGTTCATAATTTTTAAATGCCAGCCCTTGCCCTTAAGGGACAGACTCCAACAATTCCTAGCAGGGGATGTGTACTAAGATGTGTACTAAGGTAGCCTAAACTTGATTCCACTGAAGTCAGCGATGACAAGTTACTGACTTCCAAAGATCAACAGATGATCAGGGCATGGGGCAACAGCCACAATACAATGGGGCAGAGTCAAGTACAACCATCCATTTCCAGCCAAGGAGAGCTGCAGAAAGTGGCGTGGCTAT